TGGTGTGGGTCCCCAGAGTAAGTGAACCTAAGGAGGATTCTTCTACAAGAGCAAGGTAACCCCTTTCATGTGCCATGCCCAAATACAGCAATGCTATGATTAGAACAGAAAGCTACATTATGCTGGAGTAGTGGATTTAATAAGGACTATTGAGAGAGAGAGTTCTAGAAATTCAGACTTCCCAGCTAATAGCTGTCTTCACATTACATATAGGTCAAACTGAAACTCTGAGGTTTAAAATGCAATGTAGACCCTCATCCAGTTAAGCCAGTGATAAAAATCACATTGGCATCAGCAAGATAAAGATCTCACCTTTAAATTAAGGGATATTTGGACCAAACCCAAGCCTTGTAGCTGCAACCAGTTTCTAAACAAGCTGTGTGTGGATGAATCAGATCAAGCAGATCATCCATGGTATTTTCAAGGTGCTTTCCTAGGTTTTGGAGCCCCATGAACCTGGATTTCCTTCTCTGGTGAGAAGGAACAGAATCTAGCCATAAAATTCATTTCAGTAAGAGTTTCCCAGAAGCCCCTAAACTTCTCCAAGGTTTGTGGGGTCCCAATGGCAGACACAAGATTTCTATGAGCATGAGACAAGGAAACAGATACAGATTTGGTCATAAAAACTCATATAATGCTTCCACAGCTTTAGGTATAAATGTTTCACAATGTCTGGATGCACAAATCCTCAAAACACAGAGTCCTTTTCAATATGAGCAATCAGTTCCTATTAACAGCATGAGACCAAGCACCAGATGCACTGAGGGGCCAGACTCAGCATCCACAAGGGAGAAGCAGCTACAAGCCCCCATCCCAAACCTCGGGCAGCATCAGAAACTTAGCTTTTCAGCAGACAGGCAGTGGGAATGAGACTGCAGCCTATGCCTTATAGGCAGGTATGCGGGAGCCCATGGCCCTGGTCTGTCCTATCAAGGTATTATACCTGCTGAGCTTGCCAGAGAGGTGTGAATTTTTAGGTAGCTTTTCTCATATGGAATCATCCTTCCAGGCATCCCAAAAGCTCCTGTTCTGGCTCACAGGGTACATATGGGCTGTTACCCCTGAGCAGGCTGATTTATGTCAGGCTGCTGACATAGACTCAGAGGCTGCCTACTAACAGAGCAAAACAACGAGATGCTCAACAGTTCCCCTCCTACTATAGTACCTTTTTTTGTTGTTCTTGAAGCTCTTCTTACATTCAACATGTTTATCTGCAAAGGTAGCAGAGAAATCCATGTGTTTTATTGCAGTTGGATGGCACTATCAAGGTACTGCAAAAAGCTCTCAAACATGCTATCAATCACTTGATTTATGCAGGAGGTGAGCTTTATTAGTATGGCTTTAGTCACCAACTGAAATGGATTGCCTTGCATTACGCACTTTACAGGAGACCCTTTTCACTGCACTTGCCGGGTGGCTTCTGCAGCCCTGGTAGCAGTGGAAAGGACTCATTTCCCAAACCAAGCTTATTGGACAGAATATACTTTTTTTCTCTTTCCTGGGATGTAATCAGTGAAAACACTCTCATCTGACACTTTCTTGGCTGCAAGAAGAGCAGATCAGCAGTTCCACTAGTGTCCTACAATAGTGGGCACAGAAAAGAGATAAGGGAACTCAATGGATATTTCACTCTAGACAAAATTATCATCACTATGTCAGGATTGACTTCTTTGATAACCCAACACTGTCATCACACCTATTAGCATGAAAAAAGGCAGGGGTCATTTAGCACAACCCTATTTACTGTGCACTGGAAACACACCTTCTAGCTCCTGCAAGTCTTAACAAAGCTGCAAACAGCATATCACAGCAGTGTGCTGTATCCCCATCTCAGGTCCTCTAGGCAGCAATTATAAAAACTGGTTGTGTTGTCACCACATTTCAAAGCCAGAGTATGGCCATGCTGATGTGTGGCTCTAAGCCCAGCAGGGCTTGATCTATTAAACACATAAAGGGGTCTGTGTGTCAAAGGACTCTGGACTAATCATGGGACAGAAACCACAAACTCCCGAATTCAAAACCCAGGTTACTTTGGCTATTTAACCAACACTTCAGAGCACATCCATACATTTCAAATTTCACACTCTAACAGGAATACATAGCAATGCTCCTTTCAGAGGTGTTGCATTGATTAATAAGCTTGTCACCGAGGATGGAAATTGCTACATAAGTGTTAAGCGCTGTTAACTAATAGAAGACAATTCCATACATTCTGGTGGAATCCAGAGAACTCCAGCAAAATTTATTAGTTTCATTTGCATATATACTTTGTCTGACAACGGTGATCAAGCTGGTGAAAGTTATTTCAAATGTTTGTTATGCTCCATGACTGCAGAAAAGAATTAGACTGAAAATTCTGGCTCACAGGATTGTGCCTGCTGAAAAACCTTTAATTTCTGAAACATACAGGGAGCACAGACAAATATTCCTCTCATCAAATTTGCTCATGCCTCAATGATATTTAGCTTAATAACTATGCAAAGAAGGAACAGTATTGACGAAGTTAAAGTACAGAACAACATTCTGCAAGAAAACTGCTAATGCTTTCCGCTTCAGCCACATGTCCTCATTAAGGGCTCAGGCTTCTTGGCAAACTAGAGAACATCTGTTTTAAGCATTTATAGCTCAGTTTTGCTGTGATTCACCTTTGATGCCACATCACCAACATGAACCACTATGGACCACCTGAGGCTTCCCTGACACAGGACTACAAGCACTGATTTTGAATTCTCAAAGGTCAAACTATGGTTTTCCTCAAATAAAACTGTATGATCAGTCTCTGTATTTCTAGATTGTATCATCCTTCCTTTGAAGACTTCCTGTGGCAGAAAGAAACTCGGTCCTTAAACACTCATTTATATGTCTTTGAAACCATGATTTCTCTTGATCTGCTTAGTCAATAAAAAAAGGAGCAGTTGAGCAAGACTGGAGGCTTCTCCCTCCAGGACTTCCAGAGAAGAGGCCTGCTGAGTTTGTGAGCTAGCAGATGAGAGGCTGCAAGAGTCTCAAAAACACAGGACACTTCTCTGACACTGGCCTACTCTGTGATGAAGCAAATAATTTATCCCAGATCCTACTGGGTCAAAGCTGTCTCTTAATTTCTGCTGGCACTACATCCCCCAGCACAATGAGATCTGGATGGCTTTAACCTTGTCCCTTTTGTTCTAACCAACCATTTGGAGATGAACAGAGATTTATATTTCTTTCCATTACATTGCTATGGAAAGAAAAAAGTGGGAAAAAAGCCCCTGACCAAATGGCATAATTTTCTGAGGTATTTGTACACACCCATTTTGTCAAGGGATGTGCTATGCATCTGCCATGAACTGCTGAAAATGTAAGGTGGCTGTGAAACATGATGTTCTTGTGTTTACAAAGAATCATCAGCCCTTTGCCTTTAACAGAAGATCTGTAGCCTAAACAGGCAGCTTTAAGAGCTCTCCCGACTCAGTTGCAATCAAGATACCATCTACTTAAATAAGCATTTGTACTCCCAGTGATTTTAGGAGATGAATTACTGATCTTATTACCATAGTAAATACCCTTGAGGCAATGCACAGGCCAACAGAATATTGCTTTCTGCTGGTACAGTACCCATTTCCAGGAGAACTCTAAGAGTATTTCTAGCCGTATGGTAATAATAAAAGATTTGTTTAGCCTATATTTGCCAGAAAGTCCCATTTGCAGAAGTGGCTTGTAAATCTTTGATGCTGTTCATGGCAAACAGCTTGTCAGTTATGAAAATATTCCTACCAGCTCCTGTATATCAGCCTTACTGGTGGGGTAAAGAGGCTTGCAGATGGCATAGCTCAGTACCAAGCAGACTAAGCTTTCAGCTGATGTGATGACTGGCAGAGTAACATAACCTGGATAAGCAAAAGTAGTTATTGCCTGCCAGCAGAGGTGCAGCCTGCTGTGCCTGTTGAGGCTGTCCATTGAGGATAGTCCCCTTTCCCTGCATAGCTCTGTGTTCAAACAGGCAGCAGGAGCTGGAGAGGGGCAGGGAGTGGCAGCATGTGGGAGGCCTCTAGCTCAAGCACACTTCATTTATTTATCACTGAACCATCATCTGGTCAACAGGAAAAGTTGATAAAACTGTTGCCTCCAGGGCTCCATTCTCCTTGGGAATAAGGAAAAGGTGAAGCTGGTTAAGGTCAGTGCACAGGAGGCCCTACCGAGAAGGCGGGAGCAGGTTGGCCATGAATTACTGAGCATCATCTGGTATCACAGATAAGCAGAATGGGTAAAGAGAATAGGCAGGCTCTAAAATAAGGGATGGATTTAATTAACAATTGCACAGAGGGAGCAGACTGTAGCATTTTGGCACGAGGACATCATGCATCTGACAGTTACTTAAAGAGACAGGGAGCACCCTATTATAAAAAAATGTATTACTCCTCCATGTATTTTAAAAATTACATGAGAAACAATCACATATTGTATTACCCGTTCTCTCCAGAGCTGCCTGGTTACACCGACACTGAGCAGCACAGCCTTCACTTCAGAGATTCTGCACCGGGGCCTATTTAAAAACATTGGTCCAAACTTGGTTGCAAAAGTACAACTCTGCTGAACTCAGGGGGCTGTGCAGATGTTAACTAAAGGCAGATGTTGATCCATATTAACTAAACTATTAAGTACATCAATCTTACCCAACCATCTGACACCTTTTCCAATTTCCCAATATTTTGTTTCCCAAAAGTTTACTTAAATTCAGCCAGCTGACAACTTGCAAGCTTCCGGGTAACCCTTTTTTGTGATTTCTGGATTGGGTTTGGGTTTTTCTCTCTCTCTCTCAAGGTTAATATTTAAATGTTAAGTGAATCTTCTAATTATTTTGAAAGTTAAAGATTATCATTATGGCACAGTTCTAGCTGTTCCTCTCTTCAGTCAGTAAAAAACATCAACAAAACACTCAAGGAAAGAAGCTGAAACAAACCTAAATTCAATTCTTTGTTTTCACATATTTTAGCAAAACAATGAATTTACCAGCTCCTTACCTCATGGGTCTGCATTCAAAGAAGAGCAGACAAGTGACTTATGGTCCCAGCCTCAGTCCCAGCAGATGTTTAACCACATCCCACAAATCAGTGCAGCTCCAGTGGATGGACTCTCCTCCCAGGGAGCCAACCATGGGACACACCATTGCTATGGAAAATAGAAAAGTACATCCCTAAACACACCTGCCCAAGTCTGGTTTTCCTTCACCTGAATAAAGCACTGCCCAGTCATTGGAAACAATCAATGAGGGGGGAAATTATTTACTAATCAATCTATAGGAAAAAGGCTTCACAGAGTTCAAAGCTTCCCCACCAATAATGCATCTGATTTTCTATGTTATTATGCCAGCTTTGAGACCACTCAATATGACCTACTCTGGGCCTTTTCATTGGTGACAAGCAAGACCCATCACTGTATCTCTGTCCTTTTCTAAGCACTTCTGTTTCCTAGAGCCCATCCTGTAGAATTAGATGGCTTTTTCTGAATCATAGTTAAAAATCAGTGCTGGAAATTGTACTCTTAAAAAAAATGGCCACAGCAAAGTTGTGATCTGAATGCATAAGAATTTTTTGAATGAATAGAGCCCTTAATATTTGTTTTTTCCTAATGAAGTAAGGCATGAATGTAAAAGGATTACTATTCCTGTAATGTTCAATTCACACACACAAAGTGTAATTCATGGAACCTGGCTTTAATTTTTTTTCATATAAATAATTAATGCCGCATTTAAAGCATGTTAAAATGTTTTATTTCTTAATCAGCTAATTTGTCTGAGAAACAAAGATGCCTTTATTTTCCTTTTCCTTGACTAGAGTTACTGTAGTAAAAGGTCCCCTCTAGCTTTGGCCTTCACTCTCGAGTTTGCTGCTGCCAATTAGTTTTCTGAAGTCACTGTTTTACAAAATGTTTCTCACTTTTTTCGCAATGTAATTGAATGTCTGTACATCACAGAGTTTCTTGTGTTCAGACACACGGTGTTAAACATTCTTTGGGTTGACTTGGGTCAGCTTTAAAAAATCTCAGACACTGAAACTTGAGAAGCAGTCGTGTGCTCTAGTGTTTGCTCCACATCCTGTTAAGTATTAAGTGGTTATTTAAAATAGAGTTATACTCAGCAACTGACTTAAAGTGCTCGATATAGTTTACAAGACGATTAATTAAATGAGAGCATTGCATGTGATGCACATGTATTTCCATAATCATTCACATTGGCCTATAGTTGCCCTTTAATTTTCATACTAATTAAAGTAACACATTGAACTGCAAATTGTAAATGGCTGCATTTCTCTGTAGATGTTAACACTGATGTAAGCTGAATGCCAAATAAAAAACCCCAAGAATCAAGCAGAGTGTTTCTTGACTCTGATCCATTCAAGTTTCCCTACTCATTCCATTACTGGACCATGTCCATATTTTAATAAGACTGCATTTTTTCTGTGTTTTCAGCCCCATATTTTTCTGAGGTACAATGCGCTTATTTTTTGTATTGTGGTATCTGGTTAGCTGGTTTCCATCTGATACAACAGAGCAGTTATAGAGGATTCGCAGTTACAGATTAGGTTTTTGAAGTGGCGGTGAGACTGTGGTTTGCAATCTGATGGGCAGAAAGAAAGAAAACTGAAATGTGCAGTAGTTTTACCTCTTAATTACATCTGACCCATTATCCTCCTTGATTCTTGTTCAAATCTTGACACGGCTGACTTGGAACCTGCAATGCAAACTGAAGGGCTGTATTTTCAGGTCACATCAAGGAAGGGGGAAGTTACTCCCTAGAACATTTACTAGGACTTGGGAAAGAGAAGCATCAGATAGGAACAATTCTGCTGTGGCTCACACAGCTGCTGGTGTTTCAGCTTGGCATACACTCTGATGGGGACCAGTGCATCCACCTCAAGCAGTCTCTAGCATGTAATGGACATATGGTAATTGCTATTGAATGAAAAGTAACCTTGGACTATAGGCATATGAAAGACACCTTTAAAAAAAAGAAAAAAAGAATCCTTGACAAAAACCCCTGTGTCAGGGCCAACAGCTCAAAAATTAACAACTAATCACTCCTTTCAGTGTGTCCTCCATCTAATTGCTTCCATGATGAGGTGAGGGTTTTTTTTTTTCCTTTCAGAAATGAGCATTATGAAAGATTTCTTTTTAATTTAAAATGAAAAATTCCTCCACTCCCAGGTGACCTATCCAAGAGAAATAATAATAAGCACTCAATTGCTCAGAGAGCATCAGCACTCACACATATTACAAGGCTGAGCGTTCATGCTCCCTTACACCCTCCCACCCCGCTTCCTTCCCACAGCGTGTCCTATCTCCAGATCCTAACTTGGCTTGGCCCAAGATGTTATTTGTTAAAATTAACTTTCAGATCAGGCTGGAGTCAGTGTACTTGGCAATGAGGAGAAGAACCAAGTCTGCAAGGGAGGGAACAGCTTCAGGAGGCAGAGAGGGAAGCTGCAGCCCCAGCAGGGGTATTCAAGGAGGGGAGTGGGCCACAGCAGCAAAGCCAGTTTGTCACAGCTGCCTTCAGCACCATGCTGTCCAAGTCCCTTCTTGTGGACTAGGGAAAGGCTTTCCCCTTTATCTGCTCCCAGACCCTGAGCTGCAGCCAGGCAGGGCTGCATCCCGGATTCTGCCTTGGTGGGGGCACCCCAATGTGACCATTTCTGTGATATACTTTATTCTAGCAAAAGTCTTCTGAAGTTCAGTCATGGCAATGCTGAACAGCCATGCATTGCAAAATGGATGGAGTCATGCTGAGGGAAGACTGATAGACTATGGTAATAATGCAAGACCTTTTTTTTTCCCCTCATAAACCAAATTTCCCATACATTTCTGGAAGATTAATTTAGATTTAGAGATGGTTTGCGTGAGGTACTGAAAAAAAGACTCTAAATGCAAGGCTGGTTTCTACCTGACCTTAACTGCTACATTAGCTACCATTGCTCCAGTACATTTATACATGGAAATGTACATGCACTTCAGCTTAATTACCTAAGGACTGTACAAAAGAAAGCCTTTTAAATGTTTTAATGGCAAATTTAGTCTTTCCAAGAGCTATACAACACTGTATCATCCATTGACTAATTAACAATGTATTTGACAAAAAAAATAAAAATACTAACTCAGCTACATGGACACAGTCCTGTTTGCCTTAAGTAGGTGATGCATGTAAACAAGTGCACATACAGAATAAAGTAGTAATTTGAATTTGTTGGATTTTGTTATTCCTTTGAGACTGGTTGTTGTAAGTTTAACATTAGATTTATTTTTAAGTTTAGCCTCAAACTCTCTTGTAATAAAGAAGGAGCTATAAGGGGGGGGGGGAAGAATCCTAAAGGAAAAAGCTCTTGAAGCTTTCTGACTCCTGTGACACAAAAGGACTTGATGGCTGATATGTTTCTGAGTGGGAGGTCCAGCAGACTCTTCAGCTGGGACTCAGATCTCCTCTCTCTTTCTCCCCTAACTTTCCTTTGCACTCACCTACTAAAGACAGCACGGACTCTCTCCTCTGTTGTAGCCTGCAGAGATTGCCTTAGCTAGGATATGGCTGGTGAGGTGCACTTGGGTAATTTCAGTTGCTGGGCAGTTTGCTTTGCAGGGTGCCGGGCTGGCACTGGAGCCCAAGTGGGACCACAGAGTAACCTGGAATAAAAGTAGGGCTGAGAAGGGCTGCTTCAGCTCAGCAGGGTGCTGAGCATCTGGGAAGAGCACTTACACAAAAGCCAAGGGCCTAGGAAGTCGTTCATCTTTCCAAAATCAAACCCTTTTTATACAGACTCATGACAGCTGGTTATGATGAGCAAATTAAAACTTATTTCAAAGTTACTCTTGGGCACAATTGTCAGGCTTTCATTCAGGAAACTCTCTAAACAAGCTCTTAACTTTAAGCAGGTGCCTAAATCCCACTGAACACAGTAGGATTTATACACCTGTTTTAGTGCTTTCCTGGGCAGGGATGGCCCTCAGCAAGTGGTATGGCACATTCCAGGAGTCCCAAAGTCCAGATGGCTTTTTCTCATCCACGTTTAGCTCCCAGCCAGCACTGGGATCACACCACCACTAACCAGATTCTTGGTTTAGTGCACATCCTGCTGTACTGCAAGCCTGCTGCAGCACACAAATCTGAGAGCCACCTAAGAAGGTTCACAGTCACAAACTGCCACTGTGAATAGCAATGCTATTCTTTCAGGCCACAAACAGCAAATTAGAGCCATTCTTTGAAGTTGCAACTGGGGCTTTTTTTATTTTGATTCTTCTGAAGGCTGTCATTGCTTCCCTGCCACATCAGAAGCCCCAGCACCCACAAGTCCTTTCCTACCACAGAAGCAGAGTGTGGAAAGGGTGCACATTCATGGTAATCACCTTTTTTTCAAGATACAGGTGAGCCTGGTCAGCAGCAAAATTAGCATACTGAGAACAGCTATTCTCACCCTAGAGTAGCAAACCTCAGAGCTGGTGGGAGGAGAAGGGAAAGAAAAAGGGGAGGTTGGTGATATGAGAAGCATTAACACTGACCTAGGCAAGACACAAAGTTGAAAAGTAGTAAGCATTTTCAATGAAAACCCCTCCATGTTTCATAAGCTTCCAGTCATTCTTGGTACTTAACTGGAAAGCAAAGCCAAAGTTTTCATTTCTCTTCCTCAGCCAGCAAGAGGAGAATGGAAAAGGAAACAAAGGGTCACTACTAACCTTTCTAAGGTTTTTCCTTTTGATACTGTGACTTGCTGTGGTTATTTTTTCATTATTTATTTTCACTAATATAAAAGATCTCCAGAAAAGCATTTGCTTTGGTTAAAACCAGAATTAAACCTGATCTACTACTGAGGGAAAAAAACACAAGTCGCTTTAAGGAAGACATCTGTATCGGTGTGCTTATATATAAAAGACGGCATGTGCGAGTCAAAAATACACTGACAAACCAGCATAGGTCAGAAGATCTGTTGGGGGAAAAATGAAAAACAAAGGATTTTTATCAATCTTTCAGCCCATTCTTTATTGGACCTTGATGAATCAATGGGTCAAAACAAAGGAGGGAAAAAGTGATTCATCTAGGGAACTAGTCTACCCTTCAGTTGACGACTGACATCTCTTAAGCAGGAGCTAAGGTTTAAACCAACACCTGCCTCATGTAACACATAAAGACAGACATTATTTCTTCAGAAAAGAGTATTTGTAGGACTACCTTTTCCTGAAAAAAAAAAAAAATTCTGAAAGAAAATATTGCTAATACTCACAAGGTAAGTCACTGAGCATGCTTGAATGAGGACAACCAGGCAAATTTTCTGGGTTCTGCTTGAAGACCACTCTCACACATATTGTCAATTTTAGAGAACTCAGTGCTCAACCAGCTCTTGAATTGGTTGACTTTGGTGGATTCAGATGATGACACAGCTGTGTTGACCATTAGACCTGTGAGTAGTAATCGAACCATTTAACTAGATTAGTCGGAAGTTTGGATTTGACTTTTTTTGCCCCCATGGATTTTGACTAGAAAGCTGATCACTCCCTAAGATCCCACCCTTGTGCATGACTAAAGGGACAAATTCAGTTACAGCAATGAAACCTCAGTAGCATCAGGAAAGGTGAAAGGCTTCATCCCTGTGACAGAGGTTGGCACTTGAGAAACAGTGGTCAACACAACAGATAGAGCCCTGGCAATACTCAGCAACAGAGTCTGGCCCCTAAACTAGCATGTAACCCCCCTGCAAGAGCTGTATTGCAGAGAACATAATGAAAGAAATGGTGAAGACAAGCATCATGCCTTGAAGACGTAAATGATCACTTGTGAAGAAACTCAAACGCAAAAACCCCATCCCTATTTTCCACAGCACATATAAAGCATGCTTGCCCTGCTGGAGCCAAGCCAGCACAGAGTGTGGCCACATCCCTCTGTCCCAGCACAGGCCCAGGAGAAGGAAACATGACTCAGAGCCAGAGTTTTCTCCCCTGCTCACTCCTGGCTGCAGGTGAAGTCGACTTCCCCTGTGCCTGGGTCATGGCTGGGGACAAGGAATGCCTCCCCAGTTCTTGTCCCTCTGCAGGGTTTTGTGCAGCTCGGGGGCATCTTGAAGACATTTGTCTGATTCTTACCTTAAATACAGACCATGAATCCAGGAAGCTCCTGTTATGGTCCTACGAAAGGAAAGACAGATTTATTGCTTTGTTGATCTATGCCACCTCAGAAGACAATCTTACATCCTAAAGATGAAATAGTAGATTTTAACTGAAATACAGCAATCAGCAATGAACAAAGTCCAATTCCCAATATTTGCCTATTAAATAACATATAATACCTCAAATTAGCTTACAATCACAAACCTGCTGATTTGGGTACTGTTAGTCATGGTTGGTTCTGTAACATTACTAAAGGAACTCTGTTGCCTGAAGAGCAATTTGATCTGCATCACATTCATCATTTAGCCAAGGAGAGCAGTGGTCCCTCCGCCCACCTGAATAACTGTACAGTTTTCATGACAGGATGCATCCAGGAAATACCAAGTTGCCATACAATATCTGGCCTTATTACAATAATAATTATTTGTCCCTACTGCTTAAACCACTGTTGCATGAGAAAGTTAATTCTTCCAAGGCACTGGGTGGGATGCTCTTCCTGGAAAACATGCTCTCAACAGGAAAGCCAAACACAGTGCTAGAGAGTTATCTTAAGTAGATTTAAATAATTAAATCCAAAATTCTCCAACCACTTGCTGTTTCAAATTTATTTCTTTAATAACCAGCTTGTTTCAGCAACACACTGGATTAAGGCTTCATTTATTCAAAATTTAAGGTCTGTCCCACTCTGAGTGTTATTTTAAGTATTTAGGGGAATTTTTGTGCCTGTGAAAACGAAGAGATTGTTGCATTATAAATTTATTTCCTCTGCTATTGCACAGGCCATGCACTGCAGCTGTGAAAGTGCCATAAGAGCCCCAGCAGTGTCCTTAAGCTCAACCTAGACAGGCAAGCCTTTGTATTCACACAAAGAGATGGCCTTTGCTTAGGTCTTCAGCTACAAGTACTTCCTAACAATGATGCTGACACCGCTCGGTCGCACCGAAGGAAGAAGGGACATTTAATGATGGCAATGGCTGTCCACTGGGGAGGCAGCCCAGGCCTCAACAGCCATTTTCAGGCAGGACTTCCAAGAGGGGCAGAGCCCAGTGTCAGCAGCGCTGCACAGAGCAGCGTCAGCAGCTCCTCCAGCAGGTGCTACCTCGTAAGGAAGGGCTTAGTGGCGCTTGCCATCCACATGAGCAATTTCACAAACAAGCGAGTTTCTCATACGCTCCTCATCACCTCTAGGCATTCATATTCTTTTAAGTACAGAAACATTAATTAGATTTTGACCACAGACCCGGATTTGACTTACCCTGACAGGGTTTCCATTAGTGTAATCTGTAGGGGAATTCACTGTTTTAACATCTGTGTGCCTAAGGCCTATCTCACATTTACTGCTGTAGTCTGAAAAGCCTCCCTTGTACGGCTGTGTGTTTCTTCATGCTCCCAATTTCACAGAAGTCATTTCAGCACCAAACGGTAATTAGCAAAGGGATGGGCCTCGGCTGACATGAATGCAATTTATTGTTTTCCACAAGGCCCTGAACCGAGCAAACAAAGAACACAGTCTTGCTGTCTGGCATTTTATTAACTTGCATTGTGCGACGTACCTTACTGGAGGGAGATCCCTGAGTAAATGCAGCAGCTAGTATGCAGTAACACGCGTGCTTTTGAAGAATATTAATTTCAGTTCAATTAGGCAAGTTTTGTGGGACCTCAGCCTCTAAAATAGGACAGCCACTTTTATAATTATCTCCTGTATTAACTTTATCACCACCCGACTTTTTACATAAATGCAACCTTTCATCTTTAAAATGCCAACACTTCTTCAATTTTGGCAACCGTACAGCATTGCTAATTATTTGCTCATTATGTGTGGTTAACTGATGAATCATTAATAAATGAATGAATGGCTAATATATTTTTATGGTAATTGGAGATATAACTGATTGCAGACTTCCTTTGCTTCTCAAAACTGCCCTGAATGAGCAGTAGCTGCTTAATTGTTTACAGATGATATTTATGCCACTGACAAGCTCTTCCCATCGCTGTGGTTTATCAGAGGTGAGCACTCCCTGTGCCCGCCACTGTGGGCACAGAGGGGTGGGTGATGCTCTCCCTTCCCTGCAGCATCACAGCACACGGGCACACACATGCATTTAGAATGGGTTTCCCACCAGCTCCCCACCATGGTTTGGAGCAGGAGTACTGACACCGTCACATTTATTGTTGGCATTCCCAAGTAAGACCATAGCATGACATGGAAATGATACCTTTCTGCAAGTGTTCTCCTGCAGCCTGGGTGTCTGCAGTGAGCACCACAGACAGGGCAGAGAAAGCAGGCTTCAGTGACATTTTGCTTTAACTCCATACCGTGCATTACAGTAAATGGCTTATCTAACCTCTCGCTGCCAGTGTGCAGTTAATGAATTCAGAGATAATTGCTGGGTTGATTTTCTTCTTTTTTTTTTTAACTTTTTCTTAATAACCTATCTTTCCATAAATCATTCTTAGGGTATACACATCCAAAACACAGCAGTTAAATCTGCTTGACAATTCAAATCAAAAAGGAAAGATAGTGAGATGGCTAAACAAGGCTCCTTTAGCTATGTACACACGTCCTGAAGATCAAGTTAAAAATGCAAAGGAGATTACCAATTCTTAATTATAATTATTTAACCAGGTGGGTAGTTTCTGTAATGAACATTTCTATGAAAACAGAATAACTAATGATGGTCTTAAAGAAGTCTTTGTCTTCCCATGTACTAATGATCACATTTATAAATATGCAGGAAGGCCCCCATGTACATTGCTAATGATAAGTAATTAAGCACCAGGCGTCAAAAGCTATAGAAAAGGGTCAGGGCAACGCAAGAGAAAATTAAAAATGCAATAAAATAAGTTGTGGAGAAAGATTAAATTTCTAGCTTCTGCAGGCCTGCCTATAAAGAAAGCTTTTCCCCCCTTCAGTATAAACCAGGGCTACTGTGGGGTATCAAAACAAAATCTTCTAAGCACTTTCATTAGATTTTACTTGCCTCTGTGCTTGTGTTCATATTAAAAACAAGTGAGCCACCAGCCATTTAAAACAGACGCTATACTCAGTAAAGCTCCACTTTCAATGTTTATGAGAAATCACTGTGGCTGAGATTATGACTATCACCAACCTCCTCAGAAGCATTTCAAAACTCCTGATGAAAGAAAACAGGGCTGTATTAAAATCAAAACCTGATTCTGGTACCATGTTTTCAATCCAGAGGCCTGTGCGTGAAGGGCCTGCGATTCAATCCCCGGTGGGATCCCTGCCAAGGAGACTCAGACCAAAGACACACAGAAGCCACTGAACCCACATCACACAAGTGTTAAAGGTGGTTTCCGAATGAGAAAGAAACATTTTTGTCTCTCTAAATGTAAAGCCATTAAATTCAGGTAATGCCAACACACTTACCTGGGAGCTCGGAGGCATCTGTGCTTCAGCTGCCTTCCCTCAGGCACCCTAGCTCCACAGATCCTCACCACAGCCAATCCCCCCACACCAAAACCCACTTTTCTGCTGCTGCAGTTCAGGGTTCAACAGCCTGGGTCTGAAGATAATAATGTCCCATCATTATTTATCACTGAAAGCAGGATTAAACTTGTTTCTAAAGCAGTAAGGAGTGGAGGGAAGGAGAGATGGAGAGAGGAGGCCACAGACCAGAGCCACCATTTGCCATGCCCCTCACAAAATGGCACCTGTGTACCTGAGGCAGCTCTGCTGTGCTGCAGGGCCACAGCCTCCCTCAACACTCCCCCATGGGCAGCAACTTCACCAGATTGACCTCAAATTTAACCAATGGGTTACATTGAAACACACACAGTCCTTGCATTTACAGCTTGTGCACACTATGGCATTAACTGCAAATAATGCTGGGGCATTTCTGTCAGTGCCTCTCCCACATTTCTAGCTTTCTAGGGCTTCTTTTAGAAAATAATCTCAATATTTGGCTTCCAAACTGACCTTTCTTTGCCTCACATCAGGTATTACAGCACTGCCCTAGCCTGGCTGCAGCTCCAGCTCTCACACGAAGATGCCCTTACTGGGCAGTGCGATGCACATGGACAAGTCAGCTTGGTTTGCACTTTATGGGGTACGCAGGACGGCCTGCTTGAGCAGGGGGTTGGAACCGGATGATCTTAAGGTCCTTTCCAACCCTATTCTGTGATTCTATGATCTCTGAAAGAGACATCCTCCAGGAGTTCGCCATCTCCTTATTCCCTGTGGGGGACAAGCATGAGGGACAGCCTGCACCACCACAGTGCGGCTGCCATGGCCAGGGTGCGCAGGGAGAGGGGACGAGTGTCTGTGTTA